GCACCGTGGAACTTACCTCATTATGGTTCGCACACTCTCTGAGGAGTCATTTGCATGGCTGCTCGTCACACCACGACAATACTGACAACGATTTGCAGCCATTTTAATTATGCCACACAAAAAGTACACAGTTGTTTATGGCCGCCCCACTACTGAGCCATAGTCAAATCCCTTAGTGCAGATTGCACTTTGTTTCCGAGCACAAATCACACGCACCAGAAAGACAGCAAAAAATAGATGACTGCGACAGCAGTTTGAGCCTCACAAACAAAAAAAAACTCATTGCATCTACATATTAAACAACACAGCAGCAGGCGGGGGGGGGGGGGGGGGGTGCACGCTCCAGCCCGCCTCCCCCTCCGTGCACAGAGTGGCGGGGGCCTCACCGCTGTGACTGCAGTGCCGTAAATTTGAAGTTGTTTACGGATGCTGCCATCTTGGCGCGCTCCGGGAGGGAAAACTTGGAGCGGGGCCATTTACCGGCAGCTTGATGAGAGTGCAGTGAGGCGAGTTAATTAATACAACATCCCTGGGCCCACAGGCCGGGCTGCGCAGCAAACCCGGAAGGGAGGTGGTAATGGATGGAGAGAGAGAGCAGACCGAGGAAGGAGACGAAGCCGATGCGTGGGAACCGTAGGTTCTGGACCCGATCACAAGCCTGTCATCCATGTACACAGGAATCCATGGCGACCAGGTTTGACTGTTGTGTCGGTTGCTCTTTTCAGCCCATTGTTGTCATTGTATAGTCTGATTTCAACACTGTCAGTCATATTTTCGAAAGGCGAGCCCTAGATCGAAAATTGAGATTGATTTTGCGGTTTCGGGTTCCTTCAGGTGGGACTCACCTCACGGTGTTTACCGCGAGTAAATACATAGACGAGGGGAAGTGAAACCTTGGAGGCCTCAACACTGAATTGATTCAGAAGGTGATACCAGACAGCCCTGGCATTTACTCGCCCAACTACAAGCTACGTTGTCTCCAATATGTTAGAGTCTATTAAAAATGTATCCGGTACAATGTGGCTTTCCCTACTGGAATAACTGAACACTACCACTGGAAGTAGAGTGAGAAGGAGACTGACAGTGGATATGGGCTCAGGGGAGAGGGCCTTTTAAAAAACATAAGTGTATCTAAGTCCAACCCGCAGCAACATAAACTTGAAACAAATGTATCTGCTGACCTCGGTGACTTAGGAACAGTCGTACCTTTAGTTTCCTTTTCCCTGCAACCGATTCTTTGCACAGCATTTACAGCTTTACCTTTGCTAAACAGAAAGAACTTGGCAGGAGACTGAGGAGTCCGTAGGGAGGTCCTTGCCTCCACGGCTCACTTGTTTCCTCTTCTCCTGTTTCTTTATGTTTCAACTGGAACCTGGGACCATGGTTCAATCTACGGGGGGAAAAGCAACTCATTTGCAAACTCTGCTTTCTTTTTTTTGTTGTTCATAACGATGTATGTAGTCCATTATATGCCATATCATGAAGATATGCCATGTAGAATAGCTCAGGCTGGCCGGTGCTGTATTTTCGCTAAATAATGATACCATTTTTTTCACAATGCGCTCTCATTCATTGACTTTTATCACGGTAGCAAATCAGCCATATGAAGGCAGCAAAATACTGTAAATAGTGCGCCTGGCAGTACACACAAAAGAGATGGGGGGGGCTATAAATACCTTGAATAAATCCTCCTAGTCTGGTAGCGGGAGAGAGTTGTGTTGATATAGAAAACTGGTGGCTGAATCTCATTTTTAATACTGGGCTTTTTCTTTTGGTTAGTGTTGAGAATTCACTCGATAATTACCATATTAAAATGTTTTTTAAATGCTTTCCAGTTGGGTTGGGGGAAAAAAAGCTTCCCCGGGTTTTATCAGAGGGAGGTGTTGGGGGGGGGGGGGGGGGGGGAAATCCACCGGAGGCCCATCAGTCGGCTCTGAATTGCTTTATAATTACTGTGATGCACAGGCATAATTCTCTTCTCAAAATAATGCAAGGTTTATTTTCCTTCCCCTCCCTTTTGTCTGGGGATGAGGAACTCCTTCCCCCAGTGTTCTACATCTCCAGAGCATTAACTTAACCTTTTCCTGTATAAGTCAGTGTTGTGTCATGTTAAGCACAGTGTAGCCTACTTTCTGCACAGCGGGAATGTTACTGGCTCCCTCTTTTGGGATTGGATCAAATTTCCATTCTGACACATTGGGGTTGTGTTCATGAATACTTACTGGCTAAGTAAGTTATTTGAATAGATTTCTCATCAGCCTTAATATCTCGTTCATGCCTACTACAAATGAATGAATGTATTCTGTGCACAGATATCATCATCCTGAACTTGGAGACGTCTTACAAATATTATTGTCTTTTCCATATTCCTGGACTATTATTCAGTCTTGGTAATTTCGAGGCCAGTGTTTCTTTTTCCATGGTAATTGCTATTGTAAACTTGAACAGAACAATTGAGCTCAAACAGATCAGGTCATTAATATAGTTGGTACAATTTTATAGACAATTAAAGACGTATCATTTTACGGCATAAAAACGGGATGTTTCATAAGAGGCTTGGTGTAATTGAATGGACTTTGACGAAGAACTTGTATAGAGCAACATTGTGTGTGTACAGACGTGAAGATGAGCTCTATTTCCATGCTGCAGTGGGCTCTGGGTGACTGCCAATGATTTGTCAGTTGTTGACTTTTATTTATCACGACTGCTGCTGCAGTAATTGATGAGCGAATCAAACAGTGTGGAAAAATAACTGCTGACTTTACTTTTTCTGCTGAAAGGTGATTGTGTCTCTATTCCCTCTCAGCAGTCATCTCACATTCAAATCCAATACTTGGCAAGCAAACTATTATTCAAAGAGACAGATTCCGTTCAGAAAAGCTGTTCGGGCAATAATTCCTTAGGCTATACTGTCAGTGTTCACAACTCTTGTCCAGGTCTTTGCCGATTGGTAGATCAACCCTTTTTTGGCCTCTCAGTGCTTTTTTTTTGTCCGTCCGTCCGTCCGCAGTAAAATGTCTTTGTGGAGTCCACAGTATGATGTGTGGATGAAGCAGTTTGTTTGTCCTCAGATTCCATCCGTTTGTCTCACCTGCTGCAGCCCTTAAATTGGAAACATTTCCTGCACTGTGGAGGCTGTCTTACCCTCGCTACTTTGTGTCATCTCACTCAATTCTGACCATTTTTCAACTGGTTTGATCTGTATTTGGGGGATCATGTCATTTCCAAATGTGGAAATATTAGCTGCCGCAAAAGTTATGACCAACAGTTATTTTTTCCCCCCTAAATATTTGTTTTGAAAGCTAAATTGTTGTTTACCCTATTGCTTACAGGAATGCAGTAATTACTTTTTCTCGCCCCTCCCCGGGAACCTGTGTTATGCAAGACAAAAATAATGACATAATATAAGATGTTTGAAATGCAAAGCGGCAACGCAGAGCCGGCGCTTTGTTAATAATCGCCATTATTGTGTAAGTGTGAGGAAACCTCTCCATAAAATGGAGTAATGACTATTATCAGGTTGATAACCAATAATTACTTACAAACTCTGTCTTCATTAAGCAGCTCCTGTGGAGAAACTGAGCTTAATATAGCCCTTCAGGATCCCCTCCCCTCGCCCACCAGGATCCCGCTGCGCTCCCTCTACATCCCAGTTCCTCTCTTCTGCTTTTCATTCGTTCTTCAATCTCACCTGGTCTTTATTGTCCCGTTCTGTCGCTTCCACTGGCTTCCAATTCCTTGTATTTTAGAGTGGTCATCACTGTCATTTTAAATAAAACACCATCCTGTTTTATTTACATGGGATGCTGCTCTTTCCTTCCCTACTCTCTCAGGTCTTTCTTTCCCTGAAAAATTAACCATTCTCCCGGCATGTCTTCCCATCAATCATCCTAACGGTGGCTACAAGTAGAAGAAATATAATTAGCGAAAAGAGACCGGGCCACAGAAGTCTTTTGGATTGCAACTGTTGACCAAGCGCCAGACCACCAAAATGCAAACATTTACGCTCATATGTTCACATTTTGAGGATGAACGGAGTAAAAGCTCATTTGAGTAATTTGTACCTGAAGCACCTATGAAGTAATGGCTTATACGCTGGTCTTTGGTGTCAGAATCTGTTTGTTTTTTCATATGTAGTGTGGCGGGGTGGAAGGAACAGACTACACAACAGTTTCAAGTGAAGTCCCCGGAGGGCAAGGTTTATTTACAACCGTTTAATTAGGAGAGGTCCAGCTTGCGAGGTTCTGCGGACCCTGGTGCTCGTGGTGAATCCGCTCGTGGGGGAGTCGGTGCAGTGCTCCAGGGGTTCCGCCGGGTCACTCGCTGCTTTCTAGGGAGACAAGGGCACACAAGAGGGTTTAGCCTTACGTCTTCTCCAGGGGGCCTTCTTGTTCCTTCTGAACCTGCAGCTTAAATGTAGCGGAGCTGACGAGCTGCAGGTGTGGCCACTCAGCTCGTGATGAGTGGTGAGCAGGTGTTTCTTGTAGGTTCCAGGGCAACGCTGATGTGGGCTTGGGACGCTCATCACACTCCCCCCCCCTAAGCGTTGTCCTGGCCTGGTGGAATAATAGGATGTTAGTAGGGGTGATGTACGGGGTTGGTGGGGATTGACCCCTGACAGACCCACAAAAGCCGACCAGATCCGAGAAAGGCCGTCCGCATTAGAGTTTGCTGCTCCGGCACGGTGCCGGACTTCAAAGTGGAAGTCCTGGAGTGCCAGGAACCACCGTGTCACCCTGGCGTTCGTGTCCTTGGCGCGGGCCATCCACTGGAGGGGCGCATGGTCTGTAAAGAGAGTGAATCGCCTGCCTAGGAGGTAATACCGTAATTCCAGAACTGCCCACTTGATGGCCAGAGCTTCCTTCTCCACCGCGGCGTAGTTTTTTTCGGCTGGGGTCAGCTTCCGGCTGAGGTACAAGACAGGATGCTCCTCATCTTCCTGAATCTGGGACAGGACGGCTCCCAGTCCTGTATCGGACGCATCTGTTTGCAGCAGGAAAGGACAGCCAAAATCTGGTGCTCTTAGGACCGGCTCTGCCGTCAATGCCATCTTTATTTTTCTCAATGCCTCCTCAGCTTCGGGCGTCCAGTTGATTTTCTCTGGCTGACCCTTCCTGGTTAGGTCTGTCAGAGGGGAGGCTAAAGAGGAGAAGTTAGGTATAAAACATCGATAATAACCCGCCAACCCCAAGAAGGCTCGTACCTGGGACTTTGTACTGGGTCTTGGGGCGGCGCGGACTGCCTCAACCTTCTTTTCCTGGGGTCTGATGACTCCTCTTCCCACCTGGAAACCCAGATAGTTCGCCTCAGACAGGCCCAGATGGCATTTTCGGGGGTTGGCGGTGAGTCCAGCCCTGCGCAGCTCCAGTAGCACCCTCCGCAACCGATTTAGGTGGTCTTCCCAAGTCTCGGAGTGGATAACTACATCATCCAGGTACGCTGCGGCATAGGACTGGTGAGGCCTCAACAAGATGTCCATCATCCGTTGGAAGGTGGCCGGAGCTCCGTGTAGGCCAAAGGGAAGGGTCCGGTATTGCCAGTGTCCACTGGGGGTAGTAAAAGCCGTCTTGGGTTTGGCTGTTTCGGAAAGGGGCACCTGCCAATACCCTTTGGTCAGATCTAGGGTGGAGATATACCGGGCCCTTCCCAGACGTTCAAGGAGCTCATCCACTCGAGGCATGGGGTATCCGTCAAACTCAGACACTTCATTTAGGCGCCGGAAGTCGTTACAGAAGCGGAGGGTGCCATCCGGTTTTGGTACCATGACAACCGGGCTGGACCAAGGGCTTTTGGATGGTTCAATCACCTCCAACTTCAGCATGTGTTGGACTTCCTCCTCAATAGCCTTCCGACGAGCCTCTGGGATTCGGTAGGGCCGTTGCCTGACGACCACTCCGGGTGGTGTGTGGATCTCATGTTGGAGGATCTGGGTCCGCCCGGGGTTGGAGGAGAACACATGCGAGAACTGAGAGACCAGGTGCTGCAGCTCTGACTTCTGGGCTGCCGACAGCTGGGCGTCCATGTCCACTACCGGCGAGTCGATGGTGGCGAGGGCGGCGAGCTGGTCCCTTGTCCCCACCCATTTCTTCAACAAATTAATGTGGTAGAGCTGCTCTGTTCTTCGCCGGCCTGGCTGTCGGACACGATACGTGACCGGCCCAACCTTCTCGATGACGGTGTACGGGCCCTGCCAACTGGCCAGGAACTTACAGGCGGAGTTGGGGACAAGAACCATGACCCGGTCTCCTGGCTGAAACTCTCGTGGCTGGGCGGCTCGATTGTAATACCGTTGCTGCGCCTGTTGGGCCTTGACGAGATGTTCCCGGACTAGCGGCATGACCCGGTCGATCTTTTCCCTCATCTCCTTCACATGCTCTACCACCGAGCGATGGGGGGCCGGCTGATGTTCCCACGCCTCTTTGGCCACGTCCAGGAGGCCTCTGGGCTGGCGTCCGAATAAGAGCTCGAACGGGGTGAAGCCTGTCGACGCCTGAGGCACCTCCCGTATTCCGAAGAGCACGTAGGGGAGCATGAGGTCCCAGTCCCGCTTGTCTTCATCTGCGACCCGCCGTAACATCCGCTTCAGGGTCTGGTTGAAGCGTTCCACGAGACCGTCTGTCTGGGGGTGGTAGACAGAGGTCCTCAGTTGTTTCACTTTAAGGAGGGCGCACAGGTCAGCCATTAGCCGGGACATGAAAGGGCTTCCCTGGTCTGTCAGGATTTCGGCGGGGATGCCCACCCGGCTATAGAGAAGGAAGAGCTCCTTGGCGATGGCCTTGGCCGTGGCTTTCCTAAGAGGCACTGCTTCAGGATACCGGGTGGCGTAATCCACAATGACGAGGATGTGTTCATGCCCCCGGGCCGACTTAGGCAATGGCCCTACGAGATCCATTCCAATGCGCTCAAAGGGTACCTCAATGACCGGCAGTGGAATCAGTGGGCTGGGGGGAGGGGTCCGTGGAGATGTTCTCTGACAAGTGGGGCAGGCCTGGCAGAATCGTTTCACCTCGGCGTCCAATCCTGGCCAGTGGAATCGGTCACGGACCCGCTGAATGGTGTTGTTGGCTCCAAGGTGGCCCGCCAAGGGATGGGAGTGTGCCAGCTCTAAGACCGTCTCTGTCTTTGTTCGGGGTACCACCAACAACTTCTTCTCTTCCCCCCTTCGCTGTGCAACACAATAGAGCCGGCCGTTTTGGACGACAAAATGCGGGAGAGGATGGGGCCCCGGTTGAGTTTCTTTTCCCTCAACCATGCGCACCTGAGCCCAGCAGTGCTTTAGGCGGTCGTCTTCCCGTTGTTCCCTGGCAAACGACCCGCCTCCTGTCACCTGTTGGAAAAGGTCATGGTAAAGGTTAGAATGAGGGGGTGGGGACTCACCATCTCTCCCGCTGTCGGAGGCCAGCAAGACGGGACGATGACGGGTTCTTTTTCCTGGCCGCCTTTGGAGGTGGGCCCGTCGAGGACTGGCAAATGGCACGTTCGCGGCCAGCAGGCGATCCAAGCCCGGCCAGTCTCTACCGATAAGGACTGGTACCGGCAGATCCTTCACTAGGCCCACGTCCATCGGCCATGAGTCAAGGCCAGCGGAGATGGTCACTCTCCTGGTTGGAACATGTCGCGTGTCTCCATGCACGCAGGTGACCGGGATGGTAGCCTTGGTTAGTCTGCGGGGCGAGAGGATATGAGACTGGATCAAACTGACCGCGCTGCCGGTATCCAGAAGAGCTGCGAACGGGCGGCCATCGACTTCTACGTCCACCCTCGGCGCCCCTTTTGGCAAATCCTGATGTAGGATACAGCCCGCTAGCCAGGTTGTTGGAGCCGGTGTGGGGTCTGCGGTGGGCATTGATTCGTCTCTTTGAGAAGGAGGCCCCGGCCTGCCTTCAGACCGCGGGTTGCCCTCTGGCCTGCGTCGCTCCTGGATCACCCTCCGGGGAAACGGCGGAGCTCGTTCTCCAGCACCCTGGTGTTGGACAGCCTCCGCCAGTTCCACAGCTTCGACAAGCTCAGTAATCGTGCTAGGGTTCCGCATACCGACGGCTTGACGAGGGGATCTCGGGAGGGCACGGAGGAACCGATCGACGACAACACGCTCTGTCACAAGGGCGGCTGTGGGATCTCCTTCCAGCAGCCAATGCTGCGCGAGACGCGATAATTCTGCGGCCTGGGCCCGGGCAGGGAGGCGGGGCTTATACTCCCAGTCATGGAAATACTGTGCAGCGCAGACTGGTGAGAGGCCCAGCCGAGCCAGGATTTCCCTTTTTAGCTCCTTGTAGTCGTCTACCCGTTCAGTTGGCAGCATGAAGTATGCCCGCTGGGCTTCCCCCGTGAGGAGGGGTGCGACCAAGCGTGCCCAGTCACCAGGGTCCCAGCCCTCCTGGGTTGCGGTATTCTCGAACATTTGGAGAAAGGATTCCACATCGTCATCAGCTGTCAACTTCGGCAACAGCTGGGTCACCTTCATTCTGGGATCAGGTAGTGGGACATGTCGTGCAGCAGCCGTGCGCAGTTCATTTAACTCTTGTTCAGTTTGCCCTTGTCGCGTCGCCAGATGTTCAGTTATCTGTTGCTGGCGCATGCTGATCTCCGTTAGGCGTGCAATGACTTCATCCATGTCGCCGGGAAAGGAGTGGCTGCCTAGGGGGCCGAGCGAAAAAACGAAAGATTTAGTTTTGTAAAAAAAAAAAAAGGTTTTCCTCCGGATGTTCCTCCCACTCAGTACGCCCGCATCCTCCACCAGTGTGGCGGGGTGGAAGGAACAGACTACACAACAGTTTCAAGTGAAGTCCCCGGAGGGCAAGGTTTATTTACAACCGTTTAATTAGGAGAGGTCCAGCTTGCGAGGTTCTGCGGACCCTGGTGCTCGTGGTGAATCCGCTCGTGGGGGAGTCGGTGCAGTGCTCCAGGGGTTCCGCCGGGTCACTCGCTGCTTTCTAGGGAGACAAGGGCACACAAGAGGGTTTAGCCTTACGTCTTCTCCAGGGGGCCTTCTTGTTCCTTCTGAACCTGCAGCTTAAATGTAGCGGAGCTGACGAGCTGCAGGTGTGGCCACTCAGCTCGTGATGAGTGGTGAGCAGGTGTTTCTTGTAGGTTCCAGGGCAACGCTGATGTGGGCTTGGGACGCTCATCACAGTAGGGATCCTCCTACATTAAAGGGATTCCCAGACCCCTGAACCTCTTTTTCAACAGCCTCCTCTCCAAGTGGGAAAAGCCAACTGCAGGAGGCCCATGGTAACCACATGCTATCACAGCTCGGCCTTCCAGCCTCCAACTGCGACACCCGTACACTCATCCACTCCACAGGGGAAGTGTTGCGCTTTGCTCGTAGGCGTGCGTACAAACACAAACATTTACCCTTAACATGATGGGCATTTCTGCTTATACCTCCCCCGAGCTATTTTCGCTCAGTTTTAAATGTTTCTTCTCACCACACTGCTTTTTTCTACACACTTTCTCCTCTCGAAGCATGCCTCTCCCTCAGGCTACGTCCAAACCACGACATTATCGTTTTAAGACTCATACGGGTTGCTACGTTCCAACTGAGCGTCCACCCAATGCAAAATTTTGTCTTGGTGTTTGATTCATAGCAGTCGTGATGTGTCCTCCCCTGATTTGCCACGCTCTGGTCATTTCTTGCTGTTTAGTATAGCGTGTCTCATCCCCACCAGAGATCAGTCCAATGAGGGTGGTGTCATCCACAAACTTCAGGAGCTTAAGGGACTGATGACTGGAGGTGGACCTGTTGGTGTACAGGGAGAAGAGCAAAGGGGAAAGAACGCAGCCTTGGGGAGAACCGGTGCTGATGGTCCGGGAGGCTGAGACATTTTCCCAGCTAGTAAAAGGTTAAAATAAGTCATCGTAAAGTGTGTCAAAATAGTGAAGAATTAAGTCATAGAAATGGTGAAACGGGTAATAGTATACCTTGTTGAATTAAGTCATAGTATAGCTTTTTGACATGGTCAAAAGGGCGTGTGAAAAGCGTCATAGTTTGTTTATCCTCAGATAAACACCAGATAATTTAACCTCACATGTTAAATTAAGTAATGGTATAGGATAATAAATGAAGTATAGAGTGTCAAAATGGTGAAGGTCATAGTATAGCATGTCAAAAATATGAAAAAGAAGACATTGTATAGTGTGTCGAAAAAGTGAAACAATATATCATAGAATAGCATGATGAATTAAGTCATTGTATAGCGTGTCGAAATGGTAAAAAAGTCATATTATAGTGTATCAAAATGATGAAAAAGGACATAGTATAGCATGTTGAATGAAGCCATAGTATAGTGTGTCCAAATGGTGAAAAAGGTCATAGTATAGTCTGTCGAAATGGTGAAAAAGGGCTATAGTATAGCATGTTGAATGAAGCCATAGTATAGTGTGTCGAAATGGTGAAAAAGGTCATAGTATAGTCTGTCGAAATGGTGAAAAAGGGCTATAGTATAGCATGTCGAAAACGTGAAACAATAAATCATAGCATAGCATATTGAATTAAGTCATGGTATAGCATGATGAATGAAGTCATAGTATAGTGTGTTGAAATGGTGAAAAGGGCTATAGTATAGGATGTCGAAAAAAGTGAAAAAATAAATCATAGTATAGCATGTCAAAATGGTGAAGAATTAAGTAATAGTATAGCATGTTGAATGAAGCGTGTCGAAATGGTGAAAAATGTCAGAGTATAGCATGTTGAATTAAGTCATAGTATAGCGTGTTGAAATAGGTCATAGTATAGCGTGTCGAAATGGTAAAAAAAATGTCATATTATAGCATGTTGAATGAAGTCATAGTATAGTGTATCAAAATGGTGGAAAAGGACATAGTATAGCATGATGAATGGAGTCATACTATAGCATGTCGAAATGGTGAATGAAGTCATAGTATAGCGTGTCAAAATGGTGAAGAGGGTCATAGTATAGTGTGTCGAAATGGTGAAAAAAGGTCATAGTATAGCATGTCAAAAATATGAAAAAGAAGATATAGTATAGCATGTCGGAAAAGTGAAACAATAAATCACTGTCTACCATGTTGAATTAAGTCATTGTATAGCATGATGGAATGAAGTCATAGTATAGCGTGTCGAAATGGTGAAGAGGGTCATAGTATAGCATGTCGAAAAAGTGAAACAATAAATTACAGTATACCATGTTGAATTAAGTCATAGTATAGTGTATCAAAATGGTGAAAAAGGACATAGTATAGTGTATCAAAATGATGAAAAAGGACATAGTATAGCATGTTGAATGAAGCCATAGTATAGTGTGTCCAAATGGTGAAAAAGGTCATAGTATAGTCTGTCGAAATGGTGAAAAAGGGCTATAGTATAGCATGTTGAATGAAGCCATAGTATAGTGTGTCGAAATGGTGAATAAGGTCATAGTATAGTCTGTCTGAAATGGTGAAATAGGGCTATATTATAGCATGTCGAAAAACGTGAAACAATAAATCATAGCATAGCATATTGAATTAAGTCATGGTACAGCATGATGAATGAAGTCATACTATAGTGTGTTGAAATGGTGAAAAGGGCTATAGTATAGGATGTCGAAAAAAGTGAAAAAATAAATCATATAGCATGTCAAAAAGGTGAAGAATTAAGTAATAGTATAGCATGTTGAATGAAGTCATAGTATAGCAGGTTGAATGAAGTCATCGTATAGCGTGTCGAAATGGTTAAAAAGGTGATATTATAGCATGTTCAATGAAGTCATAGCATAGTGTATCAAAATGGTGAAGAGGGTCATAATATAGCATGTTGAATTAAGTCATAGTGTAGCGTGTCATAAAAGTGAAGAATTAAGTAATAGTGTTACATAGTGTCGAAATGGTGAAAGAGGTAATAGTATAGCATGTCGAAATTGTGAAAAATAACTCATAGTATTGCATGTTGAATTAGGTCGTAGTATAGCGTGTTGAAATGGTGAAATAATAAATAATAATTAATAATTCTTCCCTTGGGCCTGGAGCCGGCCTCCGAGGGAGCTCAGAACAACCTCCAAAAACAAGTGCAGGGCTCATGTGGCCGTCCATCCAGTGAAGGCCTCGCCGTCTCCCACTCCAGATAACAGGCAGGGGGAGTCCAGTTCCTGAGTCGGCGATTTAACGCAATACAACGCCTCTGGGCTCAGCTTTTGAGCAATTTGGAGTAAACACACAAATACTCCCACGCTCAACTGGGAAGACTTTCCATCTGAATTGTTCCCAGAGCTCCTCCTTTTCCTTTTATGATCAGTTACATGATGATTCAGTAAAGTCTAGTTGTTGATAACCGGTCCTTTGTGAGAACAGGTTTTATCTGATGTAAAGTTATTTACCCGTCAGCGTTACATCACACCATATGGCAACGATGCAATATAGCATCTTCCTGCTGTGGTGGGAAAGCCTCAATGTTTGCTATGCAGACATCATCTTTGGCATATCTGAAACATTACATATACAGGGAGATGTTATTTTAGATGATGGGGAATGTTGCTGGTCCATTTTCACGAATGTGTTTCAGTTGATACTATAGACAAACCTGACCATTGTTTCAAAAGACGTACGTGAAAGCAAATTTTGTTGATTCACCATTAAAATACCAGGTAAATAAAAAACTGCACTGCTAACAGGCGAACAGTGGACCAGTGGGGGTAGAAATGTAGCCTATTCCCGACAGCCGATTTCACTCTCTTAATGAGCCCTGCTGCAAAACGCACATAATCTCACATTGTAAGGAGCAGACTGCTAACGCTGGCAGAATCTTGAGTTACTTTCAGTGCACAATCAATCACTAATATAAGCTGGAAGTGTTGAGGGACCATAGAGATGTGTAGGTCTATACTTAATGTTTTATGGTTTGTTCGGGGAATGATATAACATGGTAATAGTAAAAGCATATCTAGGACAGGTATGGTAAAGTATGTGGTTTTATTTGTGCTCATGGATAATTTTTCGATACAGCGGTTGCAATGTCCTTTACACATTCTAATGTCCAGTGTTCATTGTGAATATACTGATATGTAATACAGTGAGAATGGTATGTTTTCCTTTGTCAACAAAACACTTGAAAGAACCAAAGCAAACAGTGTGTTGTTTTACCACCAACACTTGACCCCGTTGGCGGTGCTCGGACCCCAGCATATTCTTTCTTCAAGGTGATTAAATAATGCAGTTATAACTGGTTAAAAATAGATTATAGTTGGTTTCTTAACAGACCGAATAATTCCGTAGAACAGCGGGGCACTGTGGTTTTAACAAATTCTACTCAAACACAAGACTACTTTCAGCTCTGGGTTAAACACATATCTACATATGGAGGACTATCCATATATTTTGAATCAATGCTCATGTTTACCATAATGAATGAAATTGTTAACCTATTCATGTGTTTTTAGTAACAGTGGAAGGTAAACCATATGAGGTATGAAGTGCAGATTCAAAAATACTAAACAATGCAGTATACAAACGGAATACTGTAACATTTCAGGAAAACTAAGTGGTCTAGGTGCAGTGTTATTGAAAAGCAGATTCTGACCTTAGCAAGACTTGCTTGGAAGTATATATGTTCTGACAACACAGATGTCAGAGGGGACCCTCAGGACCTCCGCCTGTCACCGGAGGCTAGCCAGGGGGGGCTAAATTAATCTAGACCGGGCGAGTAAGGGAAGGGGTCACAGTTCACTGTGTATGCCCCGCTGCTTCAGCACCGGCTGACAGGCCACGGGAGTCTGAAAGTCCATGATGTACTGGCATTTGCTGGGCTCCTTCACCGATCGCAAGGCTGTCTCTGTTCCGCATGTCAGCGTGACCTAGAAAAAGCACAAAGGGAAGACGTGGAGGTGGTGCAGTTAGACCGAGTCAAGAGCAATGGCAGTTTCATCTCCAAAAGGAGGCTGGCTCAAGGTCCCGTCCTACCTCTCGTTTTAGGGACTCTCGCAGCAATATCTAACTTTCTGGGAAGAATTGAGATTAACCGCATGTGGGTGGATTTATGCCAGATTCAAACATAATCAGGTTCGTTGTGAAATACATGAGGAGTGTCATCACATTCCCCACGTGTGAGCAGTGATCGGTGACTCTGACACCTTCTGCAAGCGAGTACAAGGGGAAAGCAAGTTATTTTACTTCTAGGGGGTTTCCATAGCAACCCATCTTGCGAACACAAAGCAGCTGGAGAGGGAGAGCGATGGGAACTTGACAGGTATTATTGTACTCAAGCTTCAGCCTCGTACAACCGGTGATTCCTTTTCTCGACTCATAGCCATAGATTTAAAAAAAAACGTGTTTTGTGTGTGTGTGTGTGTGTGTGTGTGTGTGTACAAGATTATTGTTGATTACATTTTGACTCGCAGGTGCCGGAGCCCAATATTGGGGGGCAATACTTTCTGCTTTACGTGTGATTAAAAGTACTTTTCCCCGTTGTGTTGTCTCCACTCTCACTTAAGGAAAGAACTGAATCAATATCACACATGAGAATCAGTTTAGTATTGCTCAGCCCGTAAACAAGGTTAACAGGTCTGTTGTTGAGCTTTGTCAAATCTAACAAAAGAACCTGGATGATGTCATCACGGGTATTCTGGCTTGGTCTGTCATACTACTCATTCCAAAACACGGGGCCTTTTATCCTGAAACATGGGAAATGTAGCAATCAGAGCTTGGGCGACACAAGCGACCAAAAGCCAAAGATAATTCTAAATGAAACCAACGACCCTACAATGGGACAAAAGTAGTCATTTTTATAGCTTTTGCCATCATAACAGCTATATGAGTACAATATTTATCTGAGTCTGCAGCAGTCGGCCCTTTATGAAGATAAAGTGTAACCCTCCTTTAGATCTGGAGTAAGGCAGTGGGGATGTGACTATTAGCTTAAACAGCCAAGTCCACCCTTCCCCTGCAGCTTCTTAAGATTCGCGGGGTGCCCCGAGAGGTGGCGTAACGCCCGCAGAGAGCCGGAGCACTCAGCAAAGACGAGATTCAGCATCTCAAATCTAAATGAGCGTTGACTTCTGACGAGACTTCACTTATGCCAACTGCACTCGGTTAGGGATTCGTATCAAAGGAATTAAATTTAGTCTTTTCAAAAGGAGGCCCCCGTTGGATATTATGAGCTCATACATTTGCAAACGACATTTATTGGACTGATTTGAAGAGGGGAGAGGAGTGGGGGGGCCCAGAAAATGAGATAATTAAATGTGAATCACTATCAACACAAAAATGGAGATTCTTTCCGTAAAAACAGGTCAATAATGTAAAAAAAAAAAAGAAAAAAAAGGGGGTGGAGGGAGAGAACGCGACATTCACCGTAAAACCGATGCAGTCTGACAGGGGGAAAAGCAAGTCAGCTGCAGCTTGGGGCTAAACATATTTGTGTGCGGGCTGCTGAGTAGGCCATCACGAGGGAACATCTTTTACTGACTGACTGATTCAGGTGTTGAGGTACAGGACGAGGCAGCCTGTGCGAGAACTGTGGAGACTTTTTGGACAAAAAAAGCTTTTGTGGAATTTCCGACAGGACAGAAATGATACTGATCTTGCGCTCATATGCTCCCGGTACTTCAGCGCGTGAACTGTACTCACTGTGGTACTGCGTGAGCCTCCCTGCCAGCAGGGTTCTCCATTCTCATACACCATCCGACCGTACTGGTTCTTCGGTGGTCCTTCCCACATCCCCCACCTCCTGAAACAAGAGCCGATAATATTTTCATCAAATTGTCCATTATTCGAGCCAAACAAAAAGTCCCTAGCCTTTTTTTAAATGACAACTGTGCGCAAAAACTTCATTCCTTTAAAAGACACCGATTAGTTATAAATCAGATCCTCACAGCAAAAAAAAAAAAAAAAAAGAAGAAAAAGCTGGCATGGTGGCCGGTCTGGCAGTGCCCTCCGTTGGATCTTGGCATCCGGTGCTCACGCGTCCTCTCTCTCTGTGTCTTCTTCAACAATGGAAGGGAAATATCAATTAGCATTTTTTCTCAGAGCAAAGCCTGTGTGCAACAACACCACACGAGGGAAGCGGAAGAGACACACGGGCGCCAGAGGGGCCCCATCTCGAACGAGGCCGCGCCTGCCCGGTGCCGGCTAATTACGTTCGCACCAAGCGTTTCAAGGGGAGTTGAGAGCAAAGCAAACCGGGGTGAGAGTTGGCGGCGCCCTACGCAGCCCACGGCACGGACGGGCGCCATTTGGAGAGGCGTGCGGCCGCTAACTTCCACTGAACTTTTGAGGAACTATAGAGGCTTTGTTGAGGTGGCGTTGCCCAAACTCCTGCTGCTGGTAAGGATCGATTCTTGGAAAACTTTGTAATCCTAATAGGCATCATTAGTACACGGTCGATTGAAGATTTTACAGATTTCAGGGTTTTTTTTCAGTCTGCAACTCAATAATCAGGGGAAAAAAATGAAAGAAGAATGAAAGCTGATGGGTTAAAAGCCTTTTTGTAAATAGCCAGTCAATGTTCTGTTGATCACTCTGGGCAAAGAGCTTAAAAAAAAGCTAATAAGTCAACGGTTTGTTGTTTTAATCTGGCAAAGTGCTTCTCCTACTTGTCCAGCCCAGTCAATAAATGTACATTAACCTTTCCAGAGGATGTTAGAGGAGAAAAATCTGCTTTTTTTGTGTATGGTTTTGGCATGGCCTATAGAAATTATATAATTTCATTGATTTTGTAACAATTGTGCCTTTCTGTGCACCCAACGGGATACAAAATACACTTTACTTGAATCAAAGAGTGTCCTACAAAAACTTTTTTAAACGCCATTTGAAGAGGGCAAACTCTCTGATTCCTTCTTTTTTTTTCTAAAAAGCACTCTTCAGCACTCTTTTGTAACCCACCATGGGCTTCACAAATGTGGCTTTTCTGCTATCCAGGTTGTACATGGATTATTAAAGAGGCCTGAACGGGTTCATCCAGAGGTGGGGTTGCTCACACGGGTGGATGCTGGCTCCGGCGTCTCGCCCTTCTCCTTGCAGCCTGTTTGATTGGGTTTTAGCGCTCCGTTAGTACCAGGAGGCCCTCAAGTGGATTGATTCCAGTAGACGCGGCAGACGGAGGAAGTGACATGCTCCGGGCCCCTCGCTGCCGAGCCGACCACAGAAACCTCCTTGCAGGGGGGGGGGGACAAAACTAATGCGGGGGTGTCAAAAAGTGCAGTTTTTCGAATGGCCACTTGAGGCTGGCTCTGAAGGGGACTCGATTCCATTAGACACCCCCCCCCCCCCCCTCCTCCTCCCATCCCATGTATTCACATGGCATCACACAAATAAAGAAAACAACAAATGCTTAAAGTCGGGCATAATCGAAGGTGGTCTGTAGTGGCAGCGGGTGCTCAGTCACATAGAAGCATGTTTTCAGGGAGATGAGTCCAGATCCTTACCTCTAATTACCTTCCTGCACTTAATGTTGGATGACCATTCTACATCTCACCAGACCGGTGCGCAGCTCATTAAGAGCACCTCTGAAAAACATCCAATTGGAGCGTATATCATAATTTCATGGCACCAGGGACGCATCGACATCTGGGCTTTAGGTTGCAGCCGTGATGCACACGTGCCCTTGTAGCAGCTCCAGTTCCCTGTTAAAATAAAAACTGTTCCCACCCAACTACTCAGAGTCACAAATACACAGGATTTAAAAAAGAAAAGCAGACTTAAGTCCAATAAAGTTAATTAAAATTATTTGTATAGATTAATATTGGCAGCATAGTCAGTCTTATTTTTGTAGAAAATCTATTTCCGACCGCATGGAGGCAAGGGAGCAGCCTCGAATGCAGACTTCCTTTTAATTATTAATGATGGATGACATTAAACACACTTACAGATATGTGGCTTCTAATCTGATCCGTCTGGCCTCCTCTAATGCCCTGAAAGGCCACTTCCATCACAGATAAACTTGTAAAAGCAGCATATCTAGACAGCTAAATTATAATATCCATATTTACAATGCTTTGCATTGTGGGTGAGAAAGTGGGCCCTGCAGAACAAAAACACACCTCTAATTGCACACATTAGGGAGTCAATCTCATTTCATTTTCTCTCTGAACCACTGAGGTGTGATTTCTATTGACACAAAGAACAGCAGATGGAGTAGTGATTCAATTACATCCGGTATCCTCGAAAATACCATGCAAATGATAGTTTCACCTCCTTGATGCCTCAAGGAAAAGAGTATTATGTGACTATATTATGGCTTGGCGTATATGTACGGTTTTAGAAGATTTATAAGTAACCTGCCGATAAGGATAGTAAGGAAACGTTTTGTACAACTAGAACGGTGAGTTCTTACAGCGACCCACGTGCCAACTCGCCATCAGATTACTTTACCAAATGCTTCTCCAACACCCACCTTCTCACACCGAATCCCAACCTGCGTTAAGATGGATAAGTCCGTCGCATCCGCTCGTTAGCCGCCACTGCAATAAATCATACCTCACAGCGATGCTTCTAACTGCTTTAACAAGCGGTGTGAAGCGGCGAGTCGGTCGCCCCCCCTCCCCCCACTCCTCCAAAAAAAGGTGAAGGCCCTAATCTTATACCCGGGTGGAGGAGCCGCGCGCCTTTTTTAAGAGAGGGCCGCCCCTCACCGGTCGCGCCGCGCTGACCGTCTGCCACTCGTGTAAGGTCACATCAGAGAGCGGCGTTTGGAGATCAACGTATTACTGTGCCAGCCGGTGATGCTCCTCTCGCCCCCCAAACCCGCCGCCAATTGTGCCCCCACCGCACCTCGATAAATAATTCATACGCACGGGAACCCGTGAAGGGCACACGCATGCTCGGTCAGAGCTTTTCAATTCATACGACCGACATACAAAGAGCATATATAATTACGATTAAAACATAATAGGTAATAGTTTATGAGCAGGTATGAATAAATCCTCAACAGGTCAATTACTGAAATTGCAGACAGCGCAGCGGATGGATTTTGGCACGTGGACCAACATAATTACTCTAAATCATTGAGTAACATCCGTGGAACATTTTGTTTGGACACCGATGCCATTTTACGTGCGGTTATTAAACAAACCCAGGGTGCACATTTCATCAACACCGACCGACACACGAACGAGGGCCGATGTCAAGCCCGAATCAGTATTCCGCTAACGGCTCAACCGGGCCTCATTAACGACTCGGCTGGATGTTGCCATGGCTACTCGGCAGAAAGGCCATCGGGGGTTCACGGTGTCCCCCCCCCCCTCACCACACACACACCCCGCTACCTACAACTTCAACCCTCTCCACAGACACACAAGAGTCGTTACCCTTTCGCCCTGATTGCCAGATAAAGTGTGGGCTGGATTCAGGGCCACAAATACGGGGCAGCATTCGTCCTGCGTCAGTGAGCGCGTTGTGTGAACGGACGGGCTGCACCGGTAGAACCGCGGCAGGCGCCTCTCTCAGGTAAAGAGGGGGGCCGCTCCACACTAATGGCACTCCAGCAAATGACCCTGACAGCATGAAAATGAGCGCGTTAAGTAGAACACTTAAATGTATAATTATGCACTTGTCCCAGTCAAACAGCCACCACTCTGTAGGTTAAATCATTATGGCTGAGACGAGGGGAAAAAAATAAATAATGGTAACATAAAAAAGCCAAAGCCCATCAAAACAAATTTAGGGATGGGTCGTGCTTTTTTTATGAGCATGTGCAAGGGAGCATCGCTTTACTTATTAGGTGAGATGGGGTGAGTTTACAGTCGAGCAACAAACAAAGCAATTAATCTATTTGTAAAGAAAAAAATATATATAAATACTAATTGCATATAAATGGAAATCTGATGTGTCCTTGTTTTTACATTTAATTTGACAGAAATTAAATCAGAATAGTGAGATAATGCGTAAGTAGACGAGGAACTGAAAGCCATTACATACTTAAGAACATTAAAACCTACACGAATAGGAAAATGGAAAGTATGCATCAACAAGAAAGACTTTTCTTAAATTAAAAAAAAGAATTGTACAGGGAAAATGCCAGGAGAAATATGATGCATCCTCATTGCAGTAAATCCATAAATCATATATATGTACCAGAACATCAACAGTGCTTTTAAAATTTTAGATTGGCGCTAAAAGAAATGCTGTCAAGACTGTTTATCGAAGAAACCAAGTTACAATGGCGCAATGTTTTGTATTATTGTGCACAAATTGTTGTATAATGCACAAAGGGGTACAACTTAATATCAGTAGTTGGACACGGTACAGATTAGAATATGGAAGGCAGTGACTTTAGGGTTTCAGCTCCAGGTGATAGAACTTGCACTTTTATGGTTATATGAACCATGTCAAAATAAAAATGGGGTTTTAACATCCAGTGTTATTTAACCTCCAGTGAGGATATTTTGTCGAGAGGTGCCTGACTCAATGTCAGGCTAATGCTGTTGTACGGAGCTCCCATGTGATCGCTGTGCAATAAAATGGTAACCCATCAATATAATTAGCACCAGTGCTTTTCTATTTATACATGAAAACTGCAAGTGAACAGTAATTGCTCGTAAAAAAAGGAGAAGGAACACGATGCACATCAGACATTTAAAACCAACAACGGGCTTTCTCAGCTGCGCTCATAAGGAACGGACTGGTATTGATTAAATGCATATATTTCCATATTACCATGGTCATGGAGTAGAACCTACTTTCTTGGCCAGTAAATCTGCTCAGCTAAGCCATTCATACTAACGGCCCCTT